ACATTAAAACAACTCACAAAAACAAGCAGCAAACAACATAAACGTTAATAAATTGAACTCACAATCACTCGTGTTTACATACCTTTGATTGCCTCTCAATTGGCACGGTTGATGTTGACAATTGTTATATTCCGTCGATCACAAGGTACCAATTTCAACTCTAGGTCGGAATGGATTCTCGTTTGAAGAAGAACGGACGATTCGATTTTAAGCAAACGAACTAGAATCAAGAATTAACTACGAAGTAAAAAGGAGAAAAGCACGAAAAGAAAAGGCACAAACAAAGAAGTGAATTCAATAACCAATGGTCAACAAGTAAAGTAGTTACGAGTTGAAAATTGGTTTAGGATTGTTGAGAAAGTTTAAGAATCAAAAGAAAAGAAACTACGAATTTAAAACCTGAGATTAAGAGTAACTAGAGTTTCCGATCGACGAATGACCTATTTTCTTCACATAAGTTGAAGTTTAGCTCGCCAACTTGAAGATGGACTCGCCAAACTCTGCAAACGGACAAGGCAACTCGGCGATAGGGGTGGTAGTTCGGCGATGCGCTGATGGGACTCGGCGACCAAGGCTTGGTTCCGCTGAATGTTCCAGTAGCTCCCTCAAATGGGTGGCCAATTCGGCGAGCAACTTGCCCAAAGGGCGAGGCACCGATTGGTTAGGCGATGCACACTTTTGCTCGCCGAATGGACTCTCTGCAGATCCTTCAATGCTCTTAAATTTGAAATCTGGTGGTCCCCCCTGCTCTTCTCCTTTCGTCCTTTAGGGCTTACCCTTTTAGTAAATTCTTTTTTACAAACACCTTTACTCTTTATCTTTCTTCCCCTTTTGAATCAAACACTCGTTTTTTCAAATATTCTCCTCCTTGAAGATATGAATGTTCTTCAATAACTTCAAGAACAAGATGAACACCAAAATAAAACCCTTACAATTTTTGTTTCAAAATTTCACGAAAATTTAGGTGAAGACTCTCCTTGATATGGGGAACAATACCCAACACTTTTTAACCTTCAATTCCAAGTCAAAACCTTCAGATTTCAAAACCCACTTTGTCTTCTTCAAGTTTCCTTTAAGTCTTCTTCAATAAAGCTCCAAACCCCCTTCCAATCTCAGCCCAAGACTCAAATATAGTTGGAGAACACTATTCCAACCTTAGAAACTTAAACAAGACTCAGATCTAAGAATTCCATTTATGAAATTTCTCAAAAACATTTTTGAACATTTTTTTGTAGCAATAAACCTAAGACTAGAATCGTAGGGATGATACTAAGCTTGGCTCTGATACCAAATTATGTAATTCTCACAAGAAGAACTACAATCTAATGCAGAAATCAAAGACGGAAAGTAAAGATAAATAGATAGACACAAAAAGAGGAAACAAAAAGCAACCAAAGGGTATAATAAACCCAATGACCTCGATTCATTGATCCTACAATAAGCACCCAACTCTTACGATGACCTCAAGGGAATCGATATCCCAAGCAGCCAACGTTTCTAACAAAAGGCAACACAAGCTTAACCAAGCTCTCAACACTCAAACATGAGTTTTCAGTTTTTAACATAAAAAAAAAATCTAAGTCTAAAAAGGAAACCTAACCAACTATTTATAGAGTTTAGGATAAAAAGACCCAAAAGTGACCCGAAAGACAAAAGGGCGAGCCAAGTCGGGCTCGCCTAGTCACTTGGCGATGCGTCGACTTGGTCAGCGAGCTTCTTTGCCATTCTTCAATCCCTAGCCACATTTTGTAACATTAGGCGGACTGGGGACATCGCCTAAGACATTGCGATGCGCCAAATGAACCCTGCTTGCCGAAAGGGACTTTTTCAGCAATTTTCAACACATGAAAGTCCTTGCTTGTCATCAACACCATCTCGAGCACCTCCATCTTCATGAATAGCCCTTGAATCCTTTGAAGTTCTTGAGCTTGGCTTCTAGTAAATGGCCTTGATTTAATTCGTTTTACATCACAACTTGGACGGATAAGAATTCAGACGACATGAATTTCCAACTGCTAACAAAATCCCCAATAAGCACGTACATAAAAACATGTAATACAACACACAGAAAATTATATAAATGAATTAGTTTATTTACATGTCTAAAGACCTTCACATGTGGTCGATAAAAGAAATAAGACATACTCTCTATTACTCTAATCAGAACTGATAATTACAATATAGGCAAGCAATGTGGCCACCTGTTCGGCATTCTTTGTATAATAAAGATGTCTACACTTAAATGAAATATAGTATTTGCCGTATAATGTCAACCATCATTTCATACAATTGAGCCTACTTTTAAACATTTAACTAAAAGGGATGTGCTTATACAACATAATTAACCTCTCCCACAAAAACAATTCTGTAAGATGCAAAACACTTCAACGATGTATAAACTTTGCATTACACGCAAATGATGAATACAAAGTTTACTTATCAACTGGACAAGATAAATAGAGAGATAGGAAAACATAGTACAGACACCGCTCGAAAGAACATTTGATTATTACATATATTATTTGAATACCTATTAAATCCAATATGATACTATTTCACTGTGTAATGTGTATCAAGAAGCACTTACACAAATATTACGAACATAAAAGAATACATGGGACCAAATTTTACTATTGATAATTACAGCCCAAATTAGTAGGTACATAAAAACATGTAATTCAACATAAAGACAAATATATATATATATATATATATATATATGAAATGGTTTTTTTACATGTCTAAAGACCATCTCATGTGGCTGTTAAAAGAAATAACACGTACTCAAATTAGATTGAGCTGAGAATTCCAATATACAAAAAATGTGACCACATGTTCCCCATCTTTATAGTTTAATAATAGACAAGTCTAAACTTAATGGAAATATACTATTTGCCGTATAACTTTGGCCATCATTTAATACAATTACACATTAAACTAAAGGGCATGTGCTTATACCTCATAAAGAATTCTGTCCGTAAAAAAAAAACATCCTCGACGTGCATAACACTTCAACAATGTATAGACATTGCATTACTCTCATATGATAATTACAAAGTTTACGCATCAATTGGAAAAGATAAATACTGAAAAGGAAAATATAGTACTCACCACTCAATATATTACTGGAAAAAAAAAAATTACACCCCGCGTGAAGCGTGAGCTCTTTACCTAGTAATTCACGCGCTCTTTACCTAGTAATGCATGTAAAGCAAACTGTAGGGGGTGAACTTTCTACACATTAGAATTATAATATTTGTTCACTTTTTTCAGCCTTTTTAAAATTTATTTATCCCTTCACCAATAATTTTTTATTTATTAGAAAACTTAATATCTCATGTTGATTTTCATTTGATTCCCCAAAAATATCAAATAGTAACACTTTCTGGAAGCAAAAAGATGAATTATAAAATCAAATTAAAGATGATCAATTGAAGGATAAATGATAAGATGTTATAATTATTGTTTTCCTTACATTATTAATGTTCGTTACTACCTAATCTTGTATGTAAGATAATATAGTGTTTTAGTTTTAATGACTGATAGGTTGTAAGTATTATTTTATAAAGGTGCAGTGGTCTGATAGACTCTTGTACTCATATTAGTTTGTATTCTGGACCCTTCTACTTAATCTTTTACCAACTGAAATCCTGAATCCATTGAAACCTGGTATTTTAAACCCCGTTTTTTGGCATGTCACCCTATGTGGCACTTTTGTTCAAAGTGCGTGTGATACATATTTTTTAGGCGCGTGAGGTCTTCAAAAAAGACAGCAAATGTAAAATTTTGACCTATCTAAGAGTCATCTTCTTCCCCATTTATTCATTCACCATTATTGAACAAAAAAAGAAGAAGCTTTTTGGGCTTTTCTACTCTTCAAATCTTTTTGTCCAAATTCTTTCTCCAATTTTTTCATTGCTGCCTTTCTTCTTCTTCTTCTTCTTCAAAGGGCTAATTTTTTCTTGTGTAAATTCATTCTTTATTCCTCTACAAAATAATCTCCATAAGTAAAAATTCTTTTTATTGTTCCACAAAAAATAAATGGACTTATCAATCTTACTCTTCAATAAGTATCTTGATTCCTCCGACCTACTCAATATTGCCGGAGCCACCGCCGCACCAATTTCTACAAATCTTCAAAACACAAAATCCTTTCTTCAATGAACAAATTATAAAAATAAATGTCAAAATTAATCCAAAATTACAAAAAGGAAGGAAAAAGAAAAACACACAAAGGAGGAGTGAATAAGGAGATTCCGAAGGTTGAGTAATTTGGACAAAATTGATTGTTCGTGGTTTTAGGGTTTTGCAGAGCATCCCAGTAGTTTGGCTCCATCGCTACTTTTTACAAATTGAAGGCGCAGTCGCCCTCTCCATTTTTGAATCGTAACTCCACCCTTACATTGCGGTGTGCGATCGATCTTGTTGGTACTCCATTTTACTAGTGAGAGCTTTTGAAATGAGAGAGGAGAAAGAAGGGAAAACTGGAACAAAATTGGAAGAAAGAGAAAATGATTTTTCAAATGAAATTATGGGAATTTGATTTTAATTTGATTATCATTGGGTTTCAATGGGTTCAGGGGTTCGGTTGGTAAATAGTCAAGTATAAGGGTTCATAATACAAACACATACAAGTACAAGAGTCTATCATACCATTTCACCTTTTATAAATTCCGTAATATTAAATTTCCGCGCGAGGCGCATATAATTTTACTAGTAAATATATATACAGGTTCTGAAAAGTTATCTGCTAGTAATTCCTATTATCCAAGTAACTATTTTGAGTAGATAATTTATGGTATGAACATACCCAAATTTAGTTACTAAGATGACATTCTAAAAAGTCAAGGACCGTTTGAAATATTTTCTCCATAGATCATATTTGAAACTTGAAAGCACTCGGGGCCATATCATAAGAAAAGGATAAAATAAGATAGAGTGCAGAGTGCAAAATGAGACACATTAAGGGGGCAAAGTGCAAAATGAGACACAGGCAAAGTGCAAAGGAAGCAGCCCACAGTTGAGGAGCGCCAAGACACCATTTTTGAACTTTAGAGAAGCTCTAAACTCTCTCTCTCTCTCTTTTCAATTTGGTGTTCATGGATCCACAGATTCATCACCATTTTCATAAACTAAGCACTATATAGATCTCATCTCTCTGTTTCTCTCTGTTTCTATATATTTGGGTAGGTGTGGATGCATATGATACTTTTATTAGTCAATTGTGTAGTAGTACTATGTAGTGAACATATTGGAGAGAAATGCAAGTTGCAATTGATCAATGGAAGGTGAGAAGTCGAACCTTCTAGGACCAGAAGCAGCAGCAGCAGCGTCCAAGCCCATTTCCATTCTTCCAATCGATCCGTCAGAATCCGCTAATGTCAGCCGTTCCTTTACACTCTCTTCAACAACAACGACGACGACGTCTTCCTCCTCATCTTCTCCACCGGATTTCCTCCGTCACATTCAAGCCGCCTTCAAACGCCCTCGTCCTCGGGGTAACTATTCTCACTGTTCCACTTATGCTGCCACTACCTTTTTAGGGCTTTTTGATTAAATATCTTTTGTCAAATATTTTTGCTATTAGGGCTTTTATCTCTAGGTTTACTGCTCTAAAGTGTAAGTGTGTACGGTTTGTGGTGACATATCCATTCAATTTCTGGTAGTTGTGTAATTTTGAGCTATGAAAACTTTGGCTTTGGGAGTTTTACCCTGTTGATGCCACTATCTGGTAACTTCAGTTAAGAGAAAATGACAATGGGGAAAGAAAGGCAGAAGTGTAATCTTTGCATGTTTTATCATGTACTTGAGTTTTATCTTCTTCTTGTGGGCTTATTAGGACCAGGTTTTGCAGTTTTTTATGTTATCAATTTAATTTGTAGGAGTTTAAGGAATACTTGTGTTTCTGTAGTGTTATCTGTCTGCTTCATTTTTTTTCCTTTTCTACTCGGTGTGCTAGTATAAAAGCCACATGTATTAGTGAGCTTGCCATATCATTATGGCACGCCTATTCCTAGTTGTTGAGTTATTAGGTTCGGTATATTTTGGCTGGAAGTCATGGAGGTACTTGATTCATCGTGGAAGTTGTCTTTTCTCATCTTTTATTTAGGCATTTATTGTTGAAATTGCTATTTCAGTTCCGTGAATTTGAAAGGTTGAGGCTTTAGGTTATTGAAGTATGTTTTTTTTTTCCTTCTTAAAGTTACTGAAGTATGTAGTTTATCATTGAAAAGACAGCACATGGGCTCTGTTCAATTGGAGCTCTAAAGGAAAAATGCAACTGAGTTACTAGTGTAATCAAAAGCATAAAGCGCAAAGAAACTATAAGGTTCCCTGTGGCGTTAAGCACAAATAACATGTGAGCTTTAATAAAAAAAGGTACAAAGGGTGAAAAATACAAATATATAGTATGTTTAGTCCAAGATTAACAATTATAAGCATGAATGACAAATATATGAACAAAAAAGTTGATTTTTTTATGATAATGTGAAATATCAATTGTTTAGTGTCACCCTTTCAGAAGAGGCTAATTGACAAGGAAAATTATGTCTTAGAAGTTCGAACCTAAATGACGACACTGAAACACAGTAAGTGAGGCGAAGCGCTCAACACGTTCTGAACCTCTCTTCAGGGCTTAAATGCGCCTTTGACAACAATATGAATTACATCCATATCTTGTCCTTTCTCGAGGAAGAGTACAGATCTACAGGAAGTTTGATAGGATTATTTGATGATTAAGTTAAAGTTGCAATTGAATGCATTACTTTGAAGAATAATATGCCTGGAATTGCGGCGCCAAATGGTATTCTTGCTTTTTGCTATGAATGAATTAGACATGTATACAAGTGTATTACTTATATAGGACTTGAAAACAATCAGAAGCAGCCATATTTTCTAATAATATTCTGAAAATGTCTTGAGGGTATAGTGCAGGGCGAATAACAGATAGAATCTGCAAAGAAAATTGTACTTTGTTTTTTTTGATGCTATTTCAAGTTTCCACATGAATATGCTAAAGAGAACTATCTACCTAGTTAATGAAGTTTTAAACCTGGATGAGCTGGCCGATATCATGGGCTGTAACATTGGCTCATTTTCTTTCCACATATTTGGGTCTTCCTATGGGTGGCCAGTATGAATCCATTGAAATATGGACTGGGGCTATTGAAAAGTTTGAGAAGAGGTTGACAACATGGCAAAGACAATATATCTCCTTTGGTGGTAGAGACGTAGAGTACCACTTGTCAATAATGTTCTAGACAACTTACCTACTTATTTCATGGCCTTGTTCATAATGCCAACTGAGATTATAGAACAGATTGACAAGTTAAGAAGGACCTTCCTCTGGGAAGGCAATAGAGGAACACAAATTTCACTAAAAAAAGGTACAAAGGGTGAAAAATACAAATATATAGTATGTTTAGTCCAAGATTAACAATTATAAGCATGAATGACAAATATATGAACAAAAAAGTTGATTTTTTTATGATAATGTGAAATATCAATTGTTTAGTGTCACCCTTTCAGAAGAGGCTAATTGACAAGGAAAATTATGTCTTAGAAGTTCGAACCTAAATGACGACACTGAAACACAGTAAGTGAGGCGAAGCGCTCAACACGTTCTGAACCTCTCTTCAGGGCTTAAATGCGCCTTTGACAACAATATGAATTACATCCATATCTTGTCCTTTCTCGAGGAAGAGTACAGATCTACAGGAAGTTTGATAGGATTATTTGATGATTAAGTTAAAGTTGCAATTGAATGCATTACTTTGAAGAATAATATGCCTGGAATTGCGGCGCCAAATGGTATTCTTGCTTTTTGCTATGAATGAATTAGACATGTATACAAGTGTATTACTTATATAGGACTTGAAAACAATCAGAAGCAGCCATATTTTCTAATAATATTCTGAAAATGTCTTGAGGGTATAGTGCAGGGCGAATAACAGATAGAATCTGCAAAGAAAATTGTACTTTGTTTTTTTTGATGCTATTTCAAGTTTCCACATGAATATGCTAAAGAGAACTATCTACCTAGTTAATGAAGTTTTAAACCTGGATGAGCTGGCCGATATCATGGGCTGTAACATTGGCTCATTTTCTTTCCACATATTTGGGTCTTCCTATGGGTGGCCAGTATGAATCCATTGAAATATGGACTGGGGCTATTGAAAAGTTTGAGAAGAGGTTGACAACATGGCAAAGACAATATATCTCCTTTGGTGGTAGAGACGTAGAGTACCACTTGTCAATAATGTTCTAGACAACTTACCTACTTATTTCATGGCCTTGTTCATAATGCCAACTGAGATTATAGAACAGATTGACAAGTTAAGAAGGACCTTCCTCTGGGAAGGCAATAGAGGAACACAAATTTCACCTCATCAAATGGGAGAAGGTCACACAACCAAAATACCAAGGAGGTCTTGGCATTAAGAACCTTGTTGCCCACTGCAAAAATATGATGATGAAGTGGCTTTGGAGATACAGCATGGGAGAGGTAGGGCTCTGGAAAGATGTTATCATAGCTAAGCATGGAAGGCTGAATCAATGGTGCACAGATACCACTAAACTTTCTTATGGAGAAGGTCACACAACCAAAATACCAAGGAGGTCTTGGCATTAAGAACCTTGTTGCCCACTGCAAAAATATGATGATGAAGTGGCTTTGGAGATACAGCATGGGAGAGGTAGGGCTCTGGAAAGATGTTATCATAGCTAAGCATGGAAGGCTGAATCAATGGTGCACAGATACCACTAAACTTTCTTATGGAGAAGGTCACACAACCAAAATACCAAGGAGGTCTTGGCATTAAGAACCTTGTTGCCCACTGCAAAAATATGATGATGAAGTGGCTTTGGAGATACAACTTGGAAGACGCAGGGCTCTGGAAAGAGGTCATCATAGCTAAGCATGGAAGGCTGAATCAATGGTGCACAGATACCACTAAACTTTCTTATGGAGAAGGTCACACAACCAAAATACCAAGGAGGTCTTGGCATTAAGAACCTTGTTGCCCACTGCAAAAATATGATGATGAAGTGGCTTTGGAGATACAACTTGGAAGACGCAGGGCTCTGGAAAGAGGTCATCATAGCTAAGCATGGAAGGCTGAATCAATGGTGCACAGATACCACTAAACTTTCTTATGGAGTGAGACTGTTGAAGGGTATTAGGATGTTGTGGGGCACATTTGATCAAAATGCTTACTTTGAATTGGGCAATGGTTCACTCCTAAAATTTTGGACAGACAAATGGCTTGCAGTAACACTCTTTAGGAGGATTTCCCAGATTTGTTTAGAATTGCTCAAGATCCCAATTCTGTTATTACTACTAATAGAAAAGGGACCAATTGGGACATGGTATTTAGAAGAAATATGTACGATTGGGAAGTGAATGATCTGGTAGATCTTTTTTGCAAGACTATAACATTGTCACATTAATCCTTAGGCAGTTGATAAGCTCACATGGGGACACTAGAAAGGAGGAGTTTATACAGTCAAGGAAGGGTACCAACATTTGTGCTCTAGAAACTCCATGATAGATAACTGGCCACGGAAACTCATTTGGAGGACCACGCTACCACCTAAGGTTGTTTGTTTTTCTTGGAAAACTCTATATGAGGCATATCTTACCCAAGACAACATAAAGAATAGCTCCCAAACAGATGCTATATGTGCAAAAAAGAGGTTGAAACCCCATACACCTTCTTCTCCATTGTGAGGTGGCCCCTCAGAATTATAGAGTATGTTTTTTGGTCTATTTGGTTTCAATTGGATTACACCCCTCTCAGTTAAGGATGCTTATGGGAGTTGGGAGCCTATGGAGAGTTGACAAAGCCATCAAGAAGATCTGGATCATGATACCTGCTTGTTTATTTTGGTGTATTTGGTTAGAGAGGAGTAGAAGATGTTTTGATGAGGAGTCAACTGCTTTAGGCATTTTTCACTAGGTGTATTGCCAATTTGTTTAGTTGGTCCAACATGTATCCTAATGATAATGCAAAACAACAGGACTTTATTAACTCACTAGTTCTACTTAGATAGTTTGTACACTCAGCTAGAGATTTTTTTTGTAAACTCAAATGCCATATCTTGTAATTCTTGCATCTTCTTGATGCTGTTATTAATACCACTTGCTTTATAAAAAAAAATTGCACTTTGTCCTTCGCTCTAGCCTCTCGGGGTTAGCTCAATTGGCAGAGGTTGAGGGATTTATGTTGTAGGTCACAAGTTATAGCCCTGCGCCAAACTTAGTCCTATACTTGGGTGGAGATGGGTCAAGAGGCGGGCCCATCATCCCCGAGTTTTGAAGGTTGTGGCTGACCCAAAAGGTCGGCTCTAGATGGATTTCTCGGCCATAATGTTGTGATAGCTTAAGCAACATTGTGGCCTTAGTAGTCTTGCAGTTGGATTTTGCACATGACCAGATGCCTGTACTCGCACCTCATTTCCAAGTAGCTATTGAGATGCTTATGAGCAGTAATTCAAGATAGACATCATGTAAAGAAGATCGATAGGATAAAAAAGGTGACAAGTCTTCAGAATAGTTGTGCACCTTTTAGAATTAGTCGGAGACGAAGTGGGTGCTCTGCTAGGGAATGGAGGGGATCATAGAAGCTCTCATGTTTTCTATTTTATAAATGTCCGACAGTCTTAAGTTTTGTGTTTTTTCCCTGGCAGTCTGGTACTTATTTGCTAATGATTGGCAGCATGTCATCATTTCCATTAAGCTACTAATATTGTTATATTGATATTAGTAAATATTAATTACATCTGATTTCACCAAATCTTATCACTACAACTTTCACTATCCTCCCAGTGGTGATCTTATGATCTTACAGTTTCTGTATGTAAGTTATCCTTTTCCTTCTTAAATACATCTGCTGCATATTTGTTTAGTTGTTTAGAAATTGCTTTCTGTTCCTCTAAAGTTGGGCCTCAAGAGCTTTTTCTCTTATCATTTTTTGTTGTCTTATTTTGTTTCCCTTTTCCCCAAAATGTTGGCGCTTGGCCATTTTGATTCACTACTCGGTGACAACTTTCAAAGCCAAGAGATCTAACATGAGAATACTTTAGGTACAATGCAATCAAATGGTATTATGCCAAGGAGATCGGTAGCTCCTGTGCGGCAAGCATCAAGAGGCTCTACTGTGAATACAGATTGTACAGTTGAAGCAAAGAAGACCCAAGATGAAATTCCCCTGAGTCACAGATTAATGGAATGTATTTCACAACCAAAGAACATTGGCTCTGACACTGTAGAAGCTCAAGAGGATGCATCTATGCCACCTTCGGAGTATGGTTCCACAGTAGACGTGCATGAAGAGAATTATAATTCATTCAATAGTTTGAGAGATCAACCAAGATCCTTCACTGGTCATAGAAGCAACATTACATCTGCTTCCTTGGGAACAGAGTGTGAGCATGTTTTATTGGCTGAAGGGCAGAAGAAGGTCCATTTTGCTGCTGATAGCACTTCCAGGTCTCAGGGTAATGTAATATGGTTCATTTATGAACTCCACTAACTTCAATGCATATGACCATCTTTTCTCTTAGACATATCTTGAGCTTTTCCATATGTTGTCAACTGAATAATCTGTTAGTGCTTATTTATTAACTGAAGGATGTCTTACTGGATGACCTACTGCAAACTAGGTCTGCTTAGTAGTTTGCACATTATAGTACATGTATATGCTTTATGCAGGTGTCAATGACCGAATGGTCACTGGAACAGAGGACTTGTGGTCTTATGTGAATTCACTTACATTGACAGAAATGGATTGGGATGTAGGAAATCAGATGGAGGCTGTCACTGCAGCTAGCCAAGTCTTGAGAGATCAAAATATTCATACCACCGATGTGGATGGTAACGGGAATTCCTCTCTATTGGCAAATAGAACATTAGGAGTTGCAGATCAGATTCACCAATTCAGGAACTTCTTACGGAATGATTTGAGCCACCCCATGACTCAAGCTTCAGTGGTTGGTTCAAGCTGCACTACAACTACGTTGATAAACTCGACATCTGCTCCCATGCTAAACTCAACAACCTATTGTCCACAATCTCATCTTGCAAGCAACTCTATGGAGTCACTGGGGGAACGTAAACTGAAATCTGAACATCTGATGCAATCTTCTTATCCTGTTCCAAAGAATGAAAACAGGCTTTCAGCTGATCAGACAGCTATTGCTGTACCTAGTTCTACCACTGAAACTGATTCAGAAGTTAAGAGACCTAATCTGGCTGAAGGGCCGAAGAATAGTATGCTGATTAAAGGTGACATGCCTAAAGATACTTCCCCTCTCGAGGATAACTCAGCCAAAGAATGTGTTACGGATATACAATCTGAAGCTCCCTTGTCAAAAGTTTCATCTTCCAACATGAAGTTGGAACCTTCTAAGTCTGAAAAGCAAGAAAAAAGTGTGGGTAGTAAAGCAACATCTTCGTCTCGTAAAAAAGGTTATGATCCTGATACATTTTTCAAAGTTAACGGAAAGCTTTACCAAAGGCTTGGCAAGATAGGTAGTGGTGGAAGTAGTGAGGTCCACAAAGTTATTGCATCAGATTGTTCAATTTATGCCTTGAAGAAAATCAAACTTAAAGGTCGTGACTATGCTACTGCATATGGGTTTTGTCAGGAAATTGAGTATTTAAAGAGACTGAAGGGAAAGAACAACATCATTCAACTAATTGACTATGAGGTACGTACTTTACTATAGCGTTCATGATTTCCATAAACAGTATCCTTTTACTGGGGTTTAACTCTATTTTATGTTTTGGTTGTAGAGGTCAGGTGATTTTTTTTTCAAAATTAGTGGTATTTCATGGGTGAAACAATTGAAAACATTTTGAAGCTATCAGAAGGATGATGTTAGTTGCTAATCAGTGTTATATCATTAAACATGCTGATGGAGCATTACAGCGGCTTGATTTTCCCAGGATTACCTCTAGGAAAAGCTGCATACGTTAAGAATGCTTAAAAAGTAAACACAACTACCCCTCAACCCCAACTACCTAGGGACTTTATATAAATACTTACTATCCATGTCACTCCATTCATACCCGTCTCAATCTAATAATCAATAATATAGGGTTTATAACTCTAGAAGTTCTCAACATTTTCACTACCCTTCAAGTTTCTAAACGAGACTAATGATTCCTAGCTGATATTGAACCTATAGTAAAAGTATCTACATGCCTAAGTTTTAATCCCAACTAATTGATATCCCCTTATATAGATCTTTTTCTTCCATTATGCTCGGTTTTCGCTTAGTTTGCATGCATTCCAAGAGATTGTAGGTCTATTGGGACAATTTCCTTCTATGTGAATTTAGGTCTACCTCGTCCCTTTTTAACACCTTCACTCATCATAGTTTCACACCACAAACTAGTGCATTTGGAGGTCAACATAGAACATAATCCAACTGTCTCAAGCAACCTTGCCTTTAAAAAAAGAGAAGAGTTCCTTATCAAAAATAAAGGGAAAAGAGTTGTATTTGCCCCTCTACTATTGAAAAAGTTGTAACATTACCCTTTGTTAGACTATCAGTTCATATATGCCCCTTCCGTCATAACAATGACTCAAATTTGCCTTCCTCCATTAGTTACATTTATTTCAGCTAGAATTTATTTTCGCAGCTAAATTCCCAAGCAAATTGCATGTTCTCTTGTAGTGATCTTCCATTAGTCTTAAATAGGCTGGACTCAAGCTAGTTAACATTTGATTTTCTATCTTGTCTCATCCAAGTGATTTTGGTATATTGTTGATTTCTAAATATTCATTGTTTCCTCTGATACTTGAAACATTAGGACCTTACCAGTGATCTGCTAGTCACATATGTTAGGAGGAATACTTTATTTGTGGTTGAGTTGATTGACATGAGCCAAATTAAATGTGCTTACTTTTTTACCTGACATAGACTAGAGATTTTTTTCTTTCGAAGAAAGACATGGACTAGAATTAATTTATGTTGTTGATAAAGTTTAGAGCTTTCCTTCATATCTTCCATTAAATAGAATTTTGAAACTTTATGCTGGCATTTGTGCAAAACAAACTTTTTTTGTGTGTGAAAGAATGAACAACTAATGATGCATAAAGACATGGCTATGCTTCAAAAAGAAATTTACTCACTGTTGAAAATGATAAGGCAGTTAACATAGGGCCAATACTAGAATGTATATATATCTGAAATGGTGACTGTTCTAATGTTCCTCAAGCTTGAAGTTAGTCCATACATCCACTAAAAGCATTTTTGAAAGCAGAAATTATAATGTTCTTGAACATGTCACGAATCCAACATATGTTCATATCCCAAGTATGTGTGCATATGTATCTCTTTTAAGACTAATGAAAGGCCATAGCTCGAGTCCCACTAATTTAAGACTAATGAAAAAGAAATAGATGACGGGTGGATGGTTTATGTTGGTGGTGATGGTACATGTGGTAAAGGTGTTGTCATGTTGTGTGTTGGTGACTTTGAGTGATGGTGGAAGAAGAAGGGTTGGTGTGATGAGTTGACATGCCATGTGACTAAAATGGATGGGATTAACAAAGGAAGGACAAAGTTGAGCCATTTTTATGATTGTAGGGGAATATATGGACTGATAGTACAAACGAAGGGTAATATTATAATTTTTCAATAGTAGAGGACATATATGACCCTTTTCCCCGGAAAAGAAAGCCTTCTCAAGCGACCTCATATAGCTCATTTATCCTCCATATATGTTATTTGCACCTTCTGACAAATGTGACTATTTCTAATCTTGTCTAATCTTTTATGATTGCACATCTATCATAATGTCTATAAACACCTTCTGACAGTCATCTTGTGCATACGTTGGATCTTAGAGGTCCAACATTCATCCCATATAACATTGTTAGTCTTACAAGTGTTTTATCAAATTTGATTTTTACTTTGGTAGGTATCTTCCTATCACATAACTCTCTGATAGAATTTCTTAATTTCAACCATCTTATTTTGATTATGTTCTTTGACTATCATATCATTCTCCTCGAGCATCAAGCCTTGATGGACGAATTGTTTGTATTTAGATGCCATAGTCCCCATCTAATCTCACAATAACGTCACTCTTTCTTATGTTGGCTAAACTTGCAATGCATATATCCAGTCTTACTTCTACTTATTCTAAACATTTGTTCTCTAGAGTGCTTCTCAATTGTTCAATCTAGTTTCGTGTGTCAATTGTCTGCTAAAAGATAATAGACAAAGAAAAAGAAGCTTGCTTTAGGTGAAGCAGTCCAACGGTGAACATCATCCAATAATTCTACACCATCAGATTGATAAGAATGCTTAGGCATTTGGAAAATTTGGTTGATTTAAAGAGTAGTGTTTGGGGGGAGGGCAGTTACTCTGGGAAAAAGTTATTTCAATTCATTAACTTCTTATACTAGCACTGATCAAAGTGAGAACTAGAACATTCAAGCATGCTAATATCAGTTCACAAATAACTTATCTTAATAGTGTACAATTTGAGTGCGGCCTTGAGATTTACCACATTAAATATGCTGGAATTAGACAGCTAGTTTCAAATATAGCTATAATTTTCTCTTTCTCATACGTCTCACTGTTGGCGGCGTACATTCAAGAAACTTGTAGTTATGTTTTAGTACTGCTATATGAATGTCCATGAATCTGGAAATGAATATTTCCATGTTGAGTTCCTTGCCACTCCACGGATGAGAACTAAGCAAGGAGCTTAGTACTTGCTTTTCCATAGAAAAAAAATGAAAGATCACTCTTTTTTCAAAATTGGTTTATAACAAACAATAGCGCTCCTTATATAGGAATTATGAGCTCAAAGTTTCCTAATTCCTGAGATTCTAATTATTACGACATATATCTTAATGATTTTCTTGACCATAATATAGTCTTTAAGAAAATCTTAAATAATATTCTTAATGATACTCCTTGATTTTGAACTCTGAAGTCCGAACATGAAGTCTGTAATGAAAAGTAGTATCTACATTTTAGGCTGATAGACAGATCTCCTAGGCCTTGAGAAATTCAAATCGTATGAATTTATTAAACAGAAGTTGGGTTGCTGCATTTCTTTTGAGATCACGTTGTGATTGATTATCTCTAGATATGACTCTGTTTAAATTGCTAACTTAGCTTCCTCAACAAAAGCTATAGGCTTATCAAAGCGGTTAAAACTTATGTGTCTGCATTTAGTGTTGAGGGTTCACATCTAGGGTTTTAGGAATTTGCTGTTTAGTTTTTGGAGCAAATACTGACATCCACTTGTTTGTTAGGTTACAGATAAAAATTTACTAGATGAAGTCATGAATGGCTCGATGAGTAATAATGAAACAAGAGTCAAAGAAGATGGATACATATACATGGTTCTCGAATACGGTGAAATTGATTTGGCTCATATGCTGTCTCAGAAATGGAGGGAACTAGATGGCTCTGATTCAATTATTGATGAAAACTGGCTTCGATTTTACTGGCAGGTCAATTCCTTCTATTTTCGCCTTTATCTGCTGTTACAGATTATTTTTACAAAGTTGCTGTCATGACCTAATCTTTACTGAGGATTCATTTTCTAATCTTAAGTTGTTTCATTACTACAGGTTCTTGTATAGTGTCTTATGAATAACATGTAGACAGTTTTTCTATGCCCTTGTATCTGTCTTACTTCGGCATTCAATATTAATGCCTGAATACATACTTTACCCCCTAAACTTGAAATCCTTGTAGGCTTGTACATATCTTTCTTTGCAGGCATCCTTCTACACACACCCAACTTGTATAAAGTGGAGCCGTTACTCCCCTAAACCACATGTGTCATGTACATGAAGAACAACAAAATAATCACATATAAGTTTCCTTGGTAGTAGTGATGAAGAAAAGACTTGTAGCATCCAAGGGTGTGGCCTAGTCGTCAGTGAAGTGGGTTGAGAACCACGAGGTTTCAGGTTCATATCCCAACAGAGGCAAAAACACTAGGTGATTTTCCCCCACCTGTCCTTGCCTTGGTGGATACAATTACCTCGTACCTCTTGTTGGTGGCAGGTATCCTGTGGAATTAGTTGAGGTGCGCGCAAGTTGGCTTGGACACCACGGTTATCAAAAAAAGAAAAGATTGTTATAGCCTACTGACTGGTAATGTGGGAGATTTTGAGTGGAAAACCACGCAGCAGCGAAATGTGCATTTTTATGGTCCTTTCGCTCTTTTCTTGGTTGGTTTTTCTCCTCCTGTCTTTTTTTGGGAGTTGGGTAGTGGAGATTGCGGAAGATGTTGGATAATGACGACTGAAAATTGGGAATGGAAAATATCCGCTTGCCATTGTTGGTTGAACATGAAGGAAGAGAAATAGGTGAAATTTGGGCAAGCGGATGGTAGTTTTGTTTCTTTCTTTTTTTAAAAAAAAATAATATATTTTTTATTTTTTTTACTTTATAACACGTATTGTGTGAGTTGTCTTAGGCCATTCAGGGTGATTTTGGAGATGAACCTTACAAATTAAGTTGTAAAAGGATGCTCACAAAGAAAGGGAGTGTAATAGGAATTTGCGTGGAGGGGTAAAGTATGTATTTGGCCAATGTTAATTATGCCCAACTTCAATGTCCATCATTATGCTACTTGCAGTTTACGTATTTATTCCTGGAGATTTTGACGATCAGATTTTCAAAATCTTATCAAATTTCATTGCCAATAGATTTTCGAAGATAAAATTCAAAATCTACTCCCAAAATCTATGGCCAGACACTAGCTTAGTGTATATGTTTAAGGTTCATGAAGGTCAAAACTGATTGAATCCGGTAGTACTTTTCTCGGAATTTTGTTGAAGATAAGTACTGATCTTCTCTTGTTAAGAATGTGCTTTCAATGGCCATTCTCAGTATTATGTCTTGAGAGCTCTTGAACCTCAATATTATTTGCTCCAGGAGTAGTAGATATTTGATCTCCTTAAAGTCTCTTCATTCGATCAATTTTAAGGTGTATGCAATTCCATATTCAACTAAAAGTCATGTAGCTAGAGATAAACCTAAGGCAAGATACTTTATCTGAGAAAAACTTTTGTAAACCATCCAAGGGAAGGGGAAGGGGAAGAGGAGCTCCATGTTGCTTTTAAGGTAACTGAAACTGGTCATCGCCCCCAAGGCCTAGCTCAAGTGGCAAAAGGTGGAGGATTTGTGGCTTAGGTCGCAGGTTCAAGCCCCACACCATGCAAAGCGAAGCCCGGTATTTAAGTGGAGAAGGGTAGAGGGGCGGGCCCATTATCCACCGAGTTTAGAAGGCTGTGATTGGTCTAAAGGGCGGGTCACAGACGGATTTCTTGGTTATCAAAAAAAAAAAAACTGGTCATCATTGAACCAAAGCCAATTCAGGAATCTGTCTCTGTCCTGTATATCTTTAAATGCTATGAACAACAGAACAAAAGAACTTTGGTCAGTTGCTTTTTGATAATTTGAGTCACTTTTTTATTTACAGTATGTTTTATTTGTGCTTAAATTTCTTCATGCTATAATTTCAAAAAACTTTGGTCAGTTGCTTTTTGAGTAACTGAGATAGTCACTTTTCTATCTCAATCTGCGAACACTTCTTATTTACAGTATGTTTTGTTTATGCTTTAGTTTCTTCATAATATGATTTTGGATTCAAATTATTAGGGATAGTCCAGTTAAAGAAAAAATCTTTCGGTACCAGCCTGTATACCTGACTCATTTATTATTATTATTATTATTGTTTATTATTACTTTAATTTTAATAATTATTTTATATTTTATGTCTTTTTGATAAGATAAACCTGGCTCATTTGGTTGTAACTTGTAAGTATTGTTTTTTTTTTAAATTATAAACTTCTGTCGATGGAAGAACTTTAGGACCCCTTTGGTATCTTCCATCTAAGAATAGTAGGACTGGCGTGGCCACCTTAAATTCATGTACTACTGTTGTATGTTGTACATTATCCAGATTTAAAATCTGGTAAATTTATAATATATTTGAATTGTACTCAAAAGTTCTAAACATACTTTGCAGCAAATACTTCTTGCTGTTAACACCATACACGAGGAACGGATAGTCCACTCGGACCTAAAGCCAGCTAATTTCCTTCTTGTCAGAGGCTCGTTAAAGCTGATTGATTTTGGTATAGCAAAGGCTATAATGTGTGACACAACCAACATTCAACGTGATTCACAGGTAGTTTACTCTTTTTCTTACGAGTACATGGAATGCATTTGATTGCCCCACCCCGACATCTAAAAGAAAAGAAGTGTTCTGCCAAAAGAAGATAAAGATATAGTAATCAGCAATGTCAACTTCTTCCCTGTTTTCTTAGTGGATGTAATTCTATACAGGTGGGTACGTTAAGCTACATGTCCCCTGAAGCTTTTATGTGTAATGAGACAGATGCAAATGGAAATACTATAAAGTGTGGTCGGCCCTCAGATATCTGGTCATTGGGATGCATCCTTTACCAAATGGTTTACGGGAGAACACCCTTTTCAGAATTCAAAACTTTCTGGGCGAAATTCAAAGTTATAACAAATCCAAACCATGCAATCGCATATGAACCTTTGTCCAACCCCTGGCTACTTGATCTTATGAAGAAGTGTCTTGCATGGGACCGAAATGCAAGATGGAGGATTCCTGAGCTACTCCAACATCCATTCCTTGTTCCCCCTGTTCCACCACAGTTGCCTGCTCCAGTTGAGCAAACCTGTACACTGCTTCAATTAATTGCTAAATCATGTGAAAACGATAGTAAGGCATCAACGCTATGCCTGCAACTCCAAAATTTACTAGTGCACCCCAGTCAAGTATCGCATGAGGCATTACCCGTATGCCAATACCAGAAGTTGCTTGGTGATGTCTCTGCCCTCTGTCTTCAGCTCCAAGAACAGTTGGGAAACTCAGAAAGAGGAACAAAGATGTAATGTTAAAGATGATTTATATATTTTAGCATTCTTCAGTCGTAGGTTCTTTAAGGTATTGGGCAGTTACATATCTGTCTCCATCTTTAAAGTCTTCTGCCAAGTTACTGATGTGTATACAAAAGCTACTCAAAACAAAGTGGGCATTGCCACCTGGTTTTGTTTTCTTAAAGTGGTTTGCAGATAATAGGTGAAGAAGTGTTGTAACTTTGCCTAAGAAAGAGGATCCCTATGTATGTGCAAGAGTTGGTAAGATGCCATTTTCATCTAATGATTACTATAATTTTATAGTCTTTCCACCTAAGAAATCGTGTTGGTAAATCAAAATAGAAGCAAGAGATGTAGAATAAACAAGCACATTCTTGATTTATCTTATTCAGTTGGATACAAGGGTTGTGTTATTGATTCTCTTTCAGTAGTGGAGTTGGAAATGCAACACCATATGTTCTTCAATAGCTTCACTGAGTTAAACTACTCAAGCTTAGCTATTTAAAAATGAGACAAAGCTTCCTTTCTCTACATTTGAGTTAGACAATTCTGGGACTCGCCCAGCTGACATGCAAAATGCCTTGAGGCTCAAGTATGGGGATTAGTTTTGTGAGACTTAAGCTCTAAACACGCCTACTGTCCAATACTCGGACTTGCCTAACCGTTCTTACATAGATTGTGTCTCTTTGACTATATTATAAATTTAAAAATTAGAGATCCATGTGGCTTTTGCCTCATGCCTCTAGGCTTATGCTTTGTTCGTGCTAAATAAAACGCTCTGTTTCTTGCCCTCGCCTTTTAAAACACTGGTTGAGACAAGGTGATACCTAAGAAAAATAAAAGGATTTGCATCATACGGTTGATCTGTAAAAAATAGATTTATCTACTTTTAAATTATCATCCTTATTCTTGTATAACTGTACCCTACCTTTATTCTTTAAATATTTTAGTAGTCCTAAAAATGACAATAATACAAATGGACATGCGAAGAATATTTTTTTTAAAAAATGAATACAAAGTTGAATAGTTGTATCCAAAACCTGATAAATCTTTGTAATTAAGGTGAATTGGTTTGATCCAATTTATTTTGAGTCTATGATCATAACTTCATAATTCATAAAGTTATTGCACCTTATATATCACAATAAAATGGTGTAAACAAAGAGAAGAAAAATATGGTCGTAACGGGATTGTCGATTGCAAAAGGTATTTATTATTCAGATCAGTGAATTTCTAATTAAACTTAAAAAACAGTACATCTAACAAAGGTAAGCCTATTGCACAATTATAATATTGTATAGCAATTTTGGTGCTTAGTATATGCTATTATGTGTACTAGAGCGGATATTTACACTAGTAGACCAAAGTAATGAACACTAAAAATCAAGTAAATTGAGTCATGCATCTTTTTTTCTGTTTTTATTGGAATCAAGTGAGCATGTTGAAACGGGTGCTAACTTAAAAATTGCCGCAAAACAAAGGAAGACTATCGATTGAGGCCCAATCGAGCTTTCATAATTCAGTCTTCAAACAATAGGAGAATTGATTTTATAGATCACTTACAATTTTTTCTTTACAAGAGATCTTCACTTTATATATAAAAAATAAAACAATGAACTAGCTATAATCATTTTTAATTTATACCTAATAAATTTGAAAAAATTATATTCAATTTATAAATGACCAAGAAATCTTATTTCCTCCTAAACAACCAGCATCACTATACAAATTCGACTTTTACATACTATTTTTTAAACTCAACTTCAAAAGCTATTTTCTAAAAAAATAAATATCAACCAATTCAATATCCAAACGCCTAAAAAGATATATACTCAACTCCATTTAAATGTTTTCTAGATTCTATATCAAAAAGATCTTTTGATATTTTTTTTTTATCACATTTGATAAAGGGATATTGCATTATTGATGAAGTTTGAACCCAAAAAACTCCTCACTTCCCTATGAACCTAATAAATGTAAATAAATAGATTCACATAACAAGGAAGTTAGTAGCTAGATTCGATAATAAGTTGCGCAAATTTTGAGATTGCCCATGCTATATTGCTCAACTTTAGTCAAACAAGTCATCATATCCAAATTATGAGCTAATGAGTAGTACAAAACAAGAGTCAAAATATTTTTAAAATAATTAGTAAAAAATAAAATAAAATAAAATCCCAAGTCCCCAAAAAAAAGAAAAAAATAGAGGATGGGAACGTAACAAAAAGCAAAAAAGCCACGCGCGACCATGAGTTCAGGCTAAAAGACAAGCAAAGAGCATAAATACTCTCTCTTTAACGTACGTACTGTGTAAGTATAAGGAACTCAAATGATACCAATTGTCTGCCCATCATTAATGATGTAATGTATGTCCCATTTTAATCTGCAAAAGTTTACACCATTGTACTGAATCCAAATTAGACAAGTCACTTCTCCTTTTATTTGATCGGTATAATACATAAACATGACTCTTAACTTGTCTTCAACGGACAATTTTGAGTGTGCACAAGTAAACACTTAATCTTGTATAAAATTGAATAAGTAGACACACGTGTTCTACATGACATAATACATGTAGGACACCAAATTGTCATGTAGGACGAATGTGTCTGTTTGTTCAATTTTATACAAGTTTAAGTATCTTCTAGTTATGCACACCCAAAGTTAATTAAAGGTCATAGTTGTTGGTTGCCGCTAAGTTAAGGGTCATGTTTATGTATTATGCATATTTGATCTCAACTAACATATATTTTTGTTTTTAACTTTGAGTCTGCACAAGTAGATACTGAAATTTGAATAAATAGACGTCCTACGTGATATAATACATGTAAGATGTCACGTAGGACACACGTGTCTATTTATTTAGTTTTATACAAATTCAAATATCTATTTATATATGCTTAAAACTAAATGACATAAATATCAATTAAGGTCAAGTAAAAGATCACATTTCTGATCGTTAATAAAAGAAAGAACAAAAAGAGAATGCTTGTAATACCAGGATCCAGAGTTAGCCAATTTGCTCCTTTTTTTTTTGAATTTTTGTCATGCTACAAAGTAATGTGTATATATATGTATGTGTGTTTCTTAAAGGAAAAATGCATGAGTGCCTATTGAAATATAATCATATCTTCAATTACCTCCTCTCTTTATTGGAGGGGTTTTATTACCTACTTTTCGAACTATTTTAAAATGGAATAAAAATATTTTAAAGTGTTGATGTAGCATAGAGAGTGTGCTCACTCTCTTGAAGACATACGAGAGGCGAAACATACTTAATTAAAAGATGATCAATACAGACACATATTATATTTTAATTGGATGCTTTATAGTAATTAATTTTTACACATAATTAATTAACATTAAAACTTAAATTGAAATTATTTTCTTTTCTTTCTTTGTAAAATAGAGTCAAATTTATCATTTATTTCGTTATTAATTCATTACAAGATCAATTCAATCTGTGTACTTTTAAACCGTATTAAGAAATTCAAGTGTAATGTACCGTATTACGGGTAAACAACAATGATCAAAAATAGAAAAATACTTTAGTTAGGGACCAAAAGTGTTATATATTGTCCCTAGCATTATCTGATTCACTTGATTTAACGATACTTTAGAATATTCCAAAAGTTATTCTTCTAAGTAGCAAATATAACTACTTTCTCCGTCTCAATTTACGTGACACTTTTCGAAATCCTCCGTCCCAATTTACGTGACACTTTTCGAATTTCGAGATTTTAACAAGTTTATCTTTGACCGTAAATTTTTCATATGTCTTTTAATTGTTTGAATTGTCAATTCTTGTGACTTATAGTACTTTTTATGTAGTTTACAAATATATAAATTTCATTTTAAAAAAATTGAAGATTTCCTGTTTGACTCTCATAAAAGGAAAATTGTCACATAAATTGAAACATAGGAGTATTATCTTGGTAGAGATAGCATAATCAAATTAAACCTTGTACATTTCAAATTGACACATGCATTTTCATTCATTTGAACAAAACAAATGAAAAATATTGTTGTGACATAACAAGATCAAGGAAAATGATGATAACATCCTAATTTAATTACTACAATGTGACTAGAAACTTTTGTAAATGACAACAAAGCAAGGCAATATAGCCTTAGGATTAAACACATACAACTCATCCAAATTGGAATAAAGTCCAGCAGCTCCACCAATAGAATCATATTCCTCCAAATTATTACTATTGTTATTATTATTATTATTATTATTTCCATCCAAAGTTTTCTTCACCCTTCCTGCAATTACCCTGCAAACTAACATTGCCCTCTTCTCCTCCTCCTCCTCCTCCTCCACCACCACTCTCGCGTTGTCATGCGCCTTCCCGCTCGTCGCGGTCGTCAATATACCTACATGAAATTATTATTATTTTCGCGATCCAAAAGTAGTAAAAATATCGAGTTAATAGTCAAAAACACGTCTGAAATATCACTTTTTGCGAGTTACATACTTTAACTATCCATTATTCTATTTAACTACCTAAACTACCACTCCCTTTGCATTAAAACACACCTCGATACTGAGTTGATCTAATATTTGTTCCCAATTGATACCAGACGCGTGTAGGTCAACTCAACATCAAGGTTCATCTTAATACAAAGGGAGTGATGGTTGAAGTATGCAACTATGAATAATGGCATAATACATAACTTGGCTTCAGTGGACAACTATGCCTCCAACTTTGAGTGTGCACAAGTAGACATTTAAACTTGTATAAAATTGGACAAGTAGACACATGTGTCCTGCATGATATAATACACGTAGGACGCCATGTAGGACACAAAATTGACATGTAGGGTACCATGTAGGACGAATGTGTCTATTTGTTCAATTTTATACAAGTTTAAGTGCCTACTTGTGCACACCCAAAGTTAAAGGTCATAATTGTCAATTGACACCAAGTTAAGGGTCATGTTTATGTATTATGCCATGATGTATGAACTTTTGCGAGAAAAAATGATAGTTTAGGTGTGATTTTGACCATTACAACTCAGAAACATATAAAACGAAAATCGATCGATTTTCAAACTATAGTTAATTACCTTTCTTTGTGCCATGATGAGTAGTAGTAGCTAGCTTGAATCCATTTTTGATGAGAGCACAAACGTTACAATTAGGGACAGTACACAAATTTGAGGAACCATTTAGGCCAAGTGAACACATGAATGTTGTGCAATGGAACCTTAATAGTTCATTTCCATCAGCAATACAACGTGGGTGTTTTTTGACAAGGTTAGTTGCCTTAACCTTAATAGCCTCTCTGTATTCCTCAAATCTTGAAATAGTTGTAGGAGTATTGTGGATTTTCAAGATTCTGTCTATCTTGCATACTGGGGTCTTTTTGTTTAACCAACTTGACTGAAATATGATTTCCACTATGTTTCTACTTGTGTCCTCTGGACCCAATTCAGATACTGTCAATTCATATTGTTAGTAACATTTTCCATTGTATATATCATAACAACAATAATATATTCACAGAAATCTCGCAAAATATGAGATCCGAAGAACGTAGAATTTACGCAAACTTTATCACTCGGCTCAACTTTCGATTGTAGCATGAGATACATGGAATTAAGTGGATGTTAGTGTACAATATTATTTCTAGCGTTCACTTTTACTTGTCACATTTAGATGGAATACTTTTTAAGAATATAGTGATTAACATGACTATTTCATCACACTAACTTTGTTAATTGATGTATAATATTTATTAGGTTTTGAAAAATGATTTGGAAATAAAAGTTAATACCGAGGGTAAAACATGAAGAAAATTTTTTGTATTTTCTTGATATGTTGAAAATAAAAATTAAAAGTGAAAATCTATTTTTGAAATAATGGAGAAGTAAAAGTGAACCGAGAGAGTAAATTAATAGGGACTTCCTAGGAAACTGGTGATAAAACGATTAAAGTGTATGATTATCTGATCTAAAAATTTAAACTGTTAAAAGAAACATTTTCATTATTTAATTATATTCTTAACAATAACTTAATTTTTTTGAAGAAATGATATTAGTTACATATTTGATATTATATTATATGAAACACTATGAATGAGTACTATACATTATATTATTTTGAAATATTTAGTGAATAATTGTGACTAGACTTCACTCCCTACCCAAAAAATTGTACTAATATAAAATATGTCAATCAGCCAGAGGGAGACAAGGGTCATGAAGTTCGAGGCTACATGGAAAAGTCTGACTAAAGAATTGAGGAAAAAGAGATTCCTTTTTTAAACTAAAGTATTAACCATTGATGAAACAGAGGAATTAAAATAAAATAAAAATTTAGTAAGAAAATACTTCCTCCATCTCATATTAGTCATTTTTCGTTTTACACACATTAAAAAAATCATAAAAAAAAATAATTTTACTAATTCATCCTTTAAAAAGTTTCATGTGATTAATTGTAAGGGTAATATAGGAAAAAATCAATTAATATTTTCTTAATTTAGTAAGGTAGACAACTGATATGAAACAATTATTTTTAGTAAAATGATCAACTAATATGTAACGCAGGGAGCAGCAGTAGTAGTAACATACCAGCATGTCTTACAGCTTGATGAAGTTCCAAATTCTCAACTTTCATAAAAATATGTCCACATTCACCACAAATATTTGATCTCAAAGAAGGATCCCTAGCTATTGGATCAACAACCATTCTACATTCATAACAACCTGAAAGTTTCCTGAATGGCATTCCTCTAATCGACGACGATGTAGCTGGTGAACTAGAGAGTAGTGAAGACGAAGAAACTGAAGCAGAAGCAGAAGAAGAAGAAAAACTACTAGTGCCATTTAATTTACGTCCTTTAGGAGGCGATGGCGATGGCTCAGGCCTATGCATGACCTTTGTGTTACTACATATAGAGCCAGAACACTTCATTTTCTTGCACTTCTTGTTGTTGTTATTGTCTTCACCTTCATGTTGGCCTTTAGGATTAATTTTCTCTTCTTTTAGTATTACTTGCTGTTGGCTATCTGGCCTTGCAATTACTTGTAGATGTTTACAAGTAAAGAGGCTTCTTACAACTGCCCATGAATGTGGTTTTTCTTCTTTTTTCTTATTGGTTTTGGAGTGCTTGATACTGGGATTTCCTCTGCTTTTGGCCATGGCAAAAAAAATAAGAGATAATAGGGTAATGTGTTGGTTTTTATAAGTAAAAAAAGATGAGCATCTCTCTTTTTACTCTTTTTAAGTCTCAGAGCCAGCCAGAGAGGGCTTTAATTTTTTATGTGCTTTGGAATAATGAAATGTGAAAACAGGTGGGGGAGTGGAGTGTGGAGTAAAAAGAGGGAAGAGTCCTTTTCTTGTTATGCAGAATTCTGAATTGTGGTTTTGTGGACCTTGCTCATTAATTATTACCAATCATATCGAGGATCTATCGAAAATAATCTATGTATCATGTAAAAAGCTAGGGGCAAAGTTCAGGGCCGGAGCTACACTAATTGAACATCCTTTGTTGAAAAATTATATTGTATATACAAGTAAAATGATAAATGAAATAGTTAAATAATATATTCTGGATATTCTTAACACAATAATGTGTTGTAGCCTAGTAATTTTAGGTGCCTTGAAAAAGCTAAGACACGTGAAATTTAAAGTGTTTAGGTGTTTAAATCTCACTAGCTCTTTTTTTCACCGGTAAAGTCTATCTACGTGCGACATACTCTTCTTTGACTTTATTTGTGGAATTACATTGAATGAGTTATTGTTGTTGCTGCTTGTTAAATTACTACTATGTCTACACAGTTGATGGTCTCTTTAACCATTACTGCTCTCTTTTTCTGTTGTTTTTTCCTATGTAACTATACAATCTTAGGATATTTTTTGAAAATAAATTATTTTAAGATTGTGAACTATTAAGAAAATTTCAGTTCTCTAGGTACTCATTTTTTTGGTTTAATGTGTCTGTGTTGAGGGTAAAAATGGTTAATTGGACTAGCCTAGTAGGCCTAATATTTACTATTGCAATAATTTAGACAATTTAGAGTGTAGGATGAAACTCCACTCCTCCATTATTGGTTGCCAATGCTTACTTAAGGAAGTGCCTTAGTTTTATATATAAAAATTATTCTGATATGTTATATGTCATTCAAATTCTTGTTTTATTTTAAAGACTTTAGAAAGAGTAATTAAATTATGATCGCTGTTTGCATTATTTGATACATATGCTTGATCTAATGTAATGTAATGAAAAATGTGTAGTATCAAACTTATAAGATACACGGTACAAGGAAAATAATACATAAAAGAAAAAAGTCAAAGTAATCTCAATTATATAGTAGATCTTAAAAATGAATAATAATTGAACTAATATTGAGGTAAAATGAAAATCACTTTAAAAATAAATTATATTAAGGGAAGCTAAAAATTAATACAAAATTATTTTATGCTCAACTTTGGATCAATTAAGTGCATCATTAATTTTTGGGGTCACATTTGACTACTAAGGGAAAGTAATTGGATCTAGACTAACAATTGTTAAGATTAAGACTAGGACAAAACTTGAGAATATCTCACATGGCATGCCAATTAGCACTCACACACAATAAATGAGTTATTATATCAAAAGGTCACTCAATTTTAAAAATTTATCTAGAAAAGTCACTAAATTTTATTTTGTATCAATAAAATCACTCAACTTAGGCCTTTATATCAATAAAATCACTCAATTTAATCATTTTATCAATTTCATTTGGTAGATTACTACTGCTTCATTGCAATGACGGCTGCCAAACTTGCTCTGATAGTTTAATCAATTTCGATAATTTATCAATTTCATTTGATAAATTACTACTGCTTCATTTGACGGTAACCACACTTGTTGTGATGATTTAATCAATTTCTTGTTTGTGTGAATCTCTTTTTTCATTTTAAAAAATAAAAATAAAAGTGAGGTTCCATGTATCATGACGCTAGTTTGGAGAATTTTAGGTTCAAAGTTTGATAAATTTATCTTTTATTTTGAATTTTTATTATTTTATAATGAAATAGTAGTAATTTTGAGTCATGTATTTAGTAGTTTAATCATCAACATAATATAAGAAATAATTTATTTGTGGTGCGAATTATTTTTAATAAGTAATTGATGGAATGATTTTATTGATATAAAAACCTAAGTTGAGTGATTTTATTGATACAAAATAAAGTTTAGTGACTTTGCTAGGTAATTTTCTAAAGTTGAGTGACCTTGTGATATATTAACTCCACAATAAATGTAACATCTCACAACTAGAAAGAACTAGAAGGAAGTTTAAAATATGAAAATAGTCATTTTTGGAAAGAATTGAAAATCTAGAAAATTGTTTAAGTTAGGAAAAGTGAGTTTTTGGTCAACTTCAAACGGTCATAACTCCTAGATCAGGATGAGTTAGGTGTAGTTCCAGATATGGTTGGAAAGCTATTGGAATGATCTTTCCAACGCCGCCAAGTTTACGTGATTCCGAGTTTTTTATGAGTGAGTTATCCCCTTTGAAAGTTGGGATGTTGGATTAAGAAAATGTCCAATTCGGAATTTTTAGGGGTATTTTAGTCTTTTCATTGCCCTATTATTTTAATCCATTTTTTAGGAGTTTAATGTGGGTCAAATCAGATTTTAGCCAGTTTTAGAATTTGGGATTTTCACGCTAGGGCTAAGGAGAAGAGAAAAGAAGGAGAAAGAGGGCAAATTCATCAAGATCGATCAAGAAAGTTGGTGTTTCGACAAGGATTTACTTCTATCAGGTATGTGAGGCTCTCATAACGTTGGGATTGTTCTCCCACGTGCCAAGCATATTAATTTTAGTTTGGATTCGACCTAAATGAGTTTGAATATTGATGATCTTGATATCTATGCTTGAATTCATATATTGTTCTTGAATTTGACTGAGTTGGGAAGTTTCTGAGTTCGTTACGTTGCATCATAGAGTCGTTTCGAGTTAGGTTCTTAGGTACATTTGCTGGATATCTGTATCTAAAAAGAAAATTGAGAAAAAGAACCGAGTTTGGATGAATTGGGGTTGGAAAACAAAGAAGAAATTTCGTTGGACGAAATTTGGCACTAGGGGCGCATCGCAGAGCAGGTTCCCAGATTTGGAAATTTCTGTTTCGCGTCGTGGAGTTGTCACGCAGCGTTCTACCTCAAAAGACATTTTCGAAACTAAAATTTAATTATGCCTCCGTGTCGCGGACCCACCTTCGTATTTTGATTTTCGGTCTTTTCTCATGTTTAGCTATCTAAAATCATTCCTAAACAACATGAGATCTTTCCAATCACAAATCTTAATCCTTGAATCCATAATTCAATTCAAGGATCACTTATGAGTCAAGTCAAGAGAAGTCAAGAGTCAAGTAAGAGAAGTTCATTTCAAGTTTTCACAAGTCTTTTACAAACGTTTTAACTTTGTTTTAAGACTTAAGTTTTGAAGTTGAGTAAAGAGTAAGAGCAAAGTTCATTTTCTTTAAAATGATATATGGGAACTAAGTATTCCCAAGAGTAAATGCTTTCACATTTAAGATGAGAGGAAACTGAGATTTCCAGAAGAGTTTTGAACAGAAAAAGGGAACATTAATTCCAAGAGAGCTTTTAAGCCAAGTTTGAGTAATTATCTCAAACCAGAGAAGAAGTTGTTTTAAAAACATATGAGCTAAGTATATTTTGGGAGTAATATTGAGCACCGATATAGGGACACGAGTTCATATTAACTCAAGCCCCCATAAACCATGTAGCCATCATGGGCAAGAAAAAGGGTCATACTTTTTAGATGATTCCTTAGTGCTTTTCAGCATAGAATAGTTGATCCACTTAGTAGTTCAGGTTCTATACCGATGGCAAGGTATAGGACGGTCCTTGGCAACGTGAGGTAAAACGTTGTACCATCACTTAGGCTTATAGTGATGGTTATCGGTTAGAGAATCTCCCACAGAAGCTATTTTACTTTTTATATGAAGTAAAGTTAAGTTTGTTATTGTTTTATCTTTAAATGAACTAAGATTACCTTAGTGCTTTTCAGCATAGAATAGTTGATCCACTTAGTAGTTCAGGTTCTATACCGATGGCAAGGTATAGGACGGTCCTTGGCAACGTGAGGTAAAACGTTGTACCATCACTTAGGCTTATAGTGATGGTTATCGGTTAGAGAATCTCCCACAGAAGCTATTTTACTTTTTATATGAAGTAAAGTTAAGTTTGTTATTGTTTTATTCTTTAAATGAACTAAGATTATTTTCTAGTTGTTTTATTAAGCTTTATTATATATATATCGCATGTGTTTTATTTCTTTATATGGAGTTTGAGTTATTCATGAGTTGAGAAGAGTCAAGGTAAGTGTTTCTTTCATAATCTCTTTCAAAGCCTATGTATGTTAGCATTCCAACTCGCATACTCGTACATTCAATGTACTGATGCAAGTTGGCCTACATCGTATTATGATGTAAACGCAGGTAATCAGGATCAACATCCAGCGCCTCGTTGATCCAGCTTGAGCATTCAGAGTCTGTTGGTTGAGCCTCCTTGCATTCCAAAAGACTCTTTTATTCGCTTTCTAGTTTAGTTCATTAGGATGTTGTGGGGTTTGTCCCAACATCCATCTCAGTTGTTTTAGAGGCTTCATAGACAGTTAGTAGTTCAGTAGTCTTTACATTATCATTCTTATTGTTAAGACTTGGGTTGTCACTTTTGGCCAATGTGAATGTTTAACCTTTAAGCATTCTCAGTTATTTTAGTATTCAGTTCAGTTAAGCGCTATTGATCTTTATTAATATGCATATTGTCTTCCGCTGAGTTAAGTAAGTCAGGCCAAGGGTTCGCTTGGGGCCAACAATGGTCTTCGAGTGCCAGTCCCGCCCAGGATGTAGGCTCGGAGCGTGACAATAAACATGTATTTTTTTTACGGCTCCGTTTATTTTTATTTGTCATATTTGAATTGAGTAAAAACTATTTATACTCTCTAATTTTATTTTTAAAATCAATTTTTTTTTCTTCAAATTTGAGAAATAGGCATTCTCCAACCCCCTTTCCATTTTTTTCCTAATTGATTTTTTAAATATTTATTCTATCCTTAATTATCAACTTTTCTCTTCTTCTTTTTATTTTATTTTATATACTTCTTTAAATTTATAATATTTTTGTTATGTAATTTATATTAAAAATACTTTCTATAAAAATAATAATATATAAATAGTGAAAAATATCGATCGAGCTAATGTCGTTCTATAATTAAACATGTGATCAAAATAAAAAATAATTTTATTAATTTTAACAGATTTTATAATATGATATCCTTAAAAACATATTTC